ATATATATATATATATATATATATATATTGTTTATATGTGAATTTATAAGATAATATTATTATGTTGTTAATATGTGATTTGATATAGGCTCTACTTGCGGGTAACTCGGCTGGTGGATTGGCGACGATCTTAAATTGCGATCGATTTCGAGCACTTGTACCTAATGTTAATAGAGTGAAGTGTGTCTCAGATTCCGGTTTCTTCATCCACGCGTAAGATTTTATTTAAAAATTAAATAAAAGTATATAATATGTATTTTGGGCACTAAAATTACATATATATATATATATATATATATATATATATATATATATAAGTTTTAATAATATTAATTTATCGTGATTAATTAACTAATGACAGGAAAGATCTCCCTAATGTTGAGGGAAGAGAACAAACATTTTCTAGCACGGTCCAATTTCATGTAATAATCTTTTTTATGTTATTATTATTATTATTATTTATTTTATATATATAATAATTGTTTTTGTTTACTTTGTTACAGGGAATAGCTCAATTTCTGCCTAAATCATGCACTTCAAGAATGAATCCTGGTTTGGTAAGTGAAATTATTCAAAGTAAAACTACCCAATTAATTAATTTATTTATTTTTCCAATATTCAATTTTAATTGTGTTACTTAATTTATTTTATTTTTGCAGTGTTTTTTCCCTGAAAATTTGGTTGGAGATGTGAAGACCCCACTTTTTCTACTGAATTCCGATTTCGATAAGTTTCAGGTAAGCTCGTACTTATTTACACACGCCAATGTGGGTGTGTGTATCTGTGTGTATATGAATTATTTAATCACTTTTTTTATCTCGAAATAAAATAAAATAAAATAAAATAAAATTAATCACGTTAAATATGTTACAGATACAAGTCAACTTGAAGCCTCATCCTGCTGACAGTGCTGGCTGGGCCAATTGCACCAACAATATAAATACATGCACACGTGCTCAATTACAAATCATCAAGGGTACTTTAATTAATTACTTAATTAATTAATTAATTAATTAATCAATTAGTTATTATAATTAGTCAAATATAATTTATTTAAATTAAATTTCAGATTTTCGAAATACATTCCTGGAAACAGTGAAAGGACTGAGTAATAACCCATCAAGAGGATTATTTATTAATTCTTGTTACATTCATGATTTTCTCTATTCAACTCAAAGAATTAACTCGGCAAACTCACCCAGATTGGATAATAAGGTACATTTTTACTTTTATGCTATACTTTTATTTATTTATTTATCCTCTATATAATTACTTTTACTTACTGTAATTGTAATTATAAAATTCTAACTTTTTTTTTTTTCTTTTTTTCAAAATTTGCAGACCATTGCACAAGCTATTGGTGATTGGTATTTCGACCGAAGCTCCGTTCGTTTGATAGACACAAAAACCGATCATCCGTTGGATTGTAAAATTTCATAAGTCCTACGGATTAATTATCTAATGGAAAATAAAAGAAAACTACTATATGTAGTAACGATGTATTCATCAAATTTTATTGAATAAAAATTGCTCCGTTATACTATACGAATCGTTATCTTTGTCGCTATTCATAAATCAAGAAAGCGTGTTTTAACTTTGAACGATAGATTACTATGAGGGGTAATTATTGTTTTCATCCCTCAAGTTTGCACCGATTTCACATTTGGTCCCTTATGTTCACAAATTCATTTGGTCCCTCATGTTCTAATAATTCACAATTTTTGGTCATTTCCGTCAATTTACTGTTATCCAGCTAGTTAAGGCAGTGATGGACACACGCTTGATTTCGTTCTTTTTAACGGGAAATTAACGAAAATGACTAAAAGTCTTGAACTTTTGAAATATAAGGGACCAAATGTGTTTTTTGTGAACATGGGGACCAAATGTGAAATCAGTGCAAACTTGAGGGAGGAATTTGTATTTTTCCCATTACTATTCATATTCACATGTATCTATACAATTAATATACGCGCATTTGTGCATGTTTTCTTTCTGTATCTATTATTATAGATACATAAATAGCTTTTATGTAAGACTGGTTTTGAATTTTTAAAATTTGGTGGTAGATTGAGAGTAATTTGTGGTGAAAAATAGCCTCACTCTATAATATTGGTGAACCGTAGAAAATTTTGCGAAAATGAATGATCGATAAAAGTTTTTTTTCGTAATTGGATTGAACAAAATCCTATTTAAGTAGCTAAAAACAATTAAGAAATGCAAAAACTATAAACTAATCTTTCAATAAAAAGTGATCATACCTGGTTTATAAGGTAATTTCGTTTTTTTTGTTCGTTTCCGATCCTCTTATGGTCTAAAGAATTTTTTTCATGCACGCGCAATCGCGTGTATATATTTGTATTCTCACCAGTACATAAATGATAGGGTAAATTATGACCACCCCTGAAATAAGGTTAAATTACGAAAAAAACTCATCATGTTTGGATAATTACAATCAACCCCTTAACTATGAATGTTTTTACACTTTCATCCTTATGGTGTTAAATTCAACATAATACTCTATGTTTCGTTAAATGTTATCTAGTTTAAACTCATCTTGTACAAAAATGCAGTTTCTCATACACCACAATTTGATATTTACAAGTCATGCGACACATCTTATGATCTTCTTGTTTCACAATGTGGAGATCGAATGTGATCAAATGAGTACAAACTGGAGAATATTCCATATAATCTAGAAAATTCCACTAAATTTGACTCCACAAGAATGGACATGTAAGAAAATTCATTGTTGATGCCGCATGATTGTAATTACCCAAACATGATGGTTTTTTTTGTAATTTGACCTTACTTCATAGAGTGACCGTGATTTATCCTAAATGATAAACATAGGTGGGATTAAGTTAAACAAGTTACATGTGCAGAATCTACCATTGGATATATACATTTTCTGTATCTATATCTTGATTTAGTTAATTATTGACTTCTTGTTTTTTTCTATAGTTTCCAAAAAAAAGTCACGGACATTTTTTTCCTAACAAAATGACACATTCAATCAATATTCAATTCTTCATTTCTAAAACTCATCAAATTATTTATTCCATTCATAGCCAAAAAAATAAAAAATTAGTGGCAAAATTCGTGTCAGTACATGAACCACACATGTTCGCACAAAAGAATAATCACATGAAATGTGAACTATATATATATATATATATATATATATATATATTCAAATTTTTATTATTCTTTTTCTCATGTAAAGAATGGGAATATACATTCCTACCACCATGGCCGATCACTGGTTAAAGCTATTGATTTGTGTAATCGCTCTGTCGAGTACCAAAGTCAACGTCCGAGCCTCTGAAATGGTCAACATTACGCTTCTCTCTAACGCTGTCGAAAAAGGAGCAGGTGCTTATGAAGAAAAAAATATTTATTTGTTCTTTTTCGAATATTCCTAAACCAAATATATATGCTATATTCGATTGTTTATTAATATATAAATGAACGGTGATAATATATTCGATTAACATTAATTTATTAATATTATTTCGGGTGCAGTTTGCTTGGATGGAAGCCCAGCAGGTTATCATTATGCCAAAGGATATGGAGATGGAGCTAATAGCTGGATGATTTATCTTCCGGTCGATTTTTCATAACCCATATTTATTTAATTCTTTAATTTAATTGAGTTTTTCGATTTTATGTGTGTGTTATCGCAATTATCGCATCATTTTTACTATGATTATGAATTGAAACAAATGCATAACTATTCAAGTTTGATTGTAATTTTATCAAGCTTTGAAAATTTTGTTTGAGTTTTGTTTGGTCAGGAATCGAGTCGGGTCTGAACGAACAAATCAATCTTGAATAGTTTGATTTTTCATACATGTTTTATTTTTGGTTTTTTTAATCGAGCTCGAGCCAAGTGATATGAGTTCGTATCACCAAGCTTCATATCTTATTAAACCAAATGAACCAAGGAAAACGAGTTTTTGACGATTAATCTCGAATGTGGGAGCTTGATTTAATTTTCACCAATATATATGAAAACCTATTTGTACTTGGCAATAATTGATTTTATGGTAAATTACAACCACCTCCCTAAGGTAAAGACTATTTATGAAAAGTTCCCTAACTTTTGTGAAATTACATTTAATCCCCTGTAATTTGTAAATTTCTTACATCCACCCTCCTACGAATGGATGTTAATGTAAGAAATCTACAAATTACAGAAGTGCGTGTAATTATGAAAAAATGATGGGTTTTTTTCGTTAATAGACCTTACTTTAAGGGGACGATTGTAATTCATCCTTGGTTTTATATATCGTGAATAAAATTTGATGTTTTGATGTTTTAGGGTGGTGGATGGTGCGGCCGCAAACAAAGCTGCATCGACAGAGTGAAATATTCTCCCATGCTTTCGAGCACCAAAAACATCACGCAAGAAAATTTTGGTGCGATACTAAGCCCAAACAAAACTTCTAATCCAGGTAATCGACTATACACGTACATATTAAAGGTAAATTACAACCACTCCCTAATGTATGATCAATTACGAAAAAGCCCCTCGCGTTTGTACAATTCCAGATTTCTACAACTGGAATAGAGTTTTTATTAGATATTGCGACGGCTCGTCGTTTATGGGAGACGTCAAAAAAGTCGATCCAGTAAGTCTTTGTACGAATAATTTTTTATTTAATTAATTAACTTTTTATTTCTTAAATTTAGTTACTAACACATTTTTCACATTATATTCAGGAAACTAACCTTCATAAAAGGGGGTCAAGAATTTTCACTTCTGTAATAGATGAATTGCTATCCAAAGGACTAAAAGATGCCAAAAATGTATTTAAACAAAATTCATGCTTAATTGGTTAATTATTTATGATGATTTTTAATTATTTAAAAATAAATTATTCATTTAATTTTAGGTTATGCTTACGGGTAACTCGGCTGGTGGATTAGCGACAATCTTGAACTGCGACCGGTTTCGAGCACTTGTACCTAATGCTAATATGGTGAAGTGTGTCTCGGATTCCGGTTTCTTCATCCATGCGTAAGATTTTATTTAGATGTCACATATATAATTAAATAATTTGTATATGTATTAATTATATCAAAATATTCATAATTTTAATTTGTTGTGATTAATTAATTAATGACAGGAAAAACCTCCCTAATGCTGCGGGGAGAGAACGGACATTTTCTCGCGTTGTCCACTTTCATGTAATATTCTATTCCCCTACATTTACGTGTACCATTAAAATTCATATTCAATTTAATATTTTGGGTATATTGCATCTACACCCCTGATATATGCTTAAATAACTTTAAGGTCCCTGTGGTATTGATAATTACATCCACACCCCTGAAACAATTACCGGACCTAACATTTCATTTCTTGAAGAGCGATATGCACTATATTTGTTTCCCGCAGGGCCGTTAATGCTGGCATAAACGAAAATTTATAAATCTTATGTTCTACACGATGTTCTATTCCTCTAGCTTTGTAGGTATTAATTATTTGTTTTCTTTTCTTAATTAGTTTTTTGTTTATCTTAATTATAGGGAATAAGTAAGTTTCTGCCTAAATCATGCACTTCAAGAATGAAACCGGGTTTGGTAAGTGGGTTTATTCGTGATTATTGTATCCAACTTTAAATTCCCTAATTATTTAATAATTTAATTATTTATTTAAATTTTGCAGTGTTTTTTCCCTGAAAATTTGGTCGCACATATTAAGACCCCACTTTTTCTACTGAATTCCGATTTTGATAAATTTCAGGTAATTAATCTCTTAATTTATTTTCATTTCTTGGATAAATTGCATTTAACCCCTTATAGTTTTACTATTTGGTACTCCACTCCCTCTAATATGGATTTGGTCATTTAACCCCTAATGTTGTCAAATGGTAGCGGCCGTCTAATTTAATCACGTTGACTAATTTAACCATGGTTAATATGTTTTAGATACAAGTCAATTTAAAACCTCATCCCGTTGACAATCCTGGTTGGGTCAATTGCACCAGAAATATAACTACATGCACACCTCCTCAATTACAAATCATCAAAGGTAATTTAATCAATTAATTAAAATTAATTAATTATAATTAGTCAAATATGATTTATTTACATTCAATTTCAGATTTTCGAAATACATTCCTGGAAACATTGAAAGGAGTTGGTAATAACCCATCAAGAGGATTATTTATTAATTCTTGTTACATTCATGATTTTCTCTATTTAATGGGAAGGTATAATTCCCCAGACTCCCCCAAATTACATAATAAGGTACATTTTTTACTTTTATTTATTTATTTATTTATTTATTTTGATTTATATAATTAATTTTTTTTTTTTTTCGATTTTACAGACGATTGCACAGGCTATTGGTGATTGGTATTTCAACAGAAGCTCTGTTCGTTTAATAGACACAAAAATCGATTATCCGTTGGACTGCAAAATAGGATCGGGTAATTTCGTATAAATCACTAATTGGAATATTCCCATGGATTATTATCTAATGGAAAATGAAAGAGAAGTATTACTATAGTTTTACCATAATGTAACATTCTATAATGATCATGTTAACTTGTATGACATATTATTATTGTTGGAAAATTTACAATTTCCGCCCCTCAAGTTTTCATCAATTTTACATTTAATCCTCCATATTCACAAAAAACACATTTGACCTCCAATGATTCCAAAATTGAACACTTTTAAGTCTTTCCCGTCAATTTTTCGTTACTACTAACGAAATCATGTGTGTGCTTGTCACTGCTTTAACTGAAGGACTAACAGAAAATTGATGGAAACGACCAAAAGTGTCAAATTATTCAAACACGATGGGCCAAATGTGAATCAATGTAAACTTGAAGGATGGAAACTGTAATTTTCCCTATTATTATTTATGTGTATATATAATCATAAATAAAATTGTTAATATACACGCAATCAAAAGGAATTCGAAATCTCGATCAAAAATTAAAGCTCCAATAGCACTTCGTACGTACTAGAGACGATTATCCAGAAACCTTGATAAAAAATTGTGTTTATGTGTAACGTCACTTTTACTAAATACGTATACATTTTGTATCTATATATCGAAAACTCGATTGTGACAAGTTTTATCACAAGGGTAGGGGCAATCACCCCTCTGAAATGGTTCACTTGTGTCATAAAACCAATCTCCAACTGCCTTAGCAATTGTCTGAAAATAAAATAAAAACAAGATTGTAATAAAAATAATTATTTCCACTGCATGCAAAAAAAAAAAATAATAATCATAATAAAATCGGCATTATATCGAAAAATAATAAAATAGGAAATTAATGTGAAATAAATTAATTATAATTATTAATACCTTGTTATTTAGCTTGGGAGAGTCAATTGCAAACCAGTTTTCCTGCATTTCAGTTTGGCAGTGTGCATAGCAAGAATTGATAAAGTAGCCTCTTGTATTAATTAAGGGGCCTAATCCACTACTAATTGCTTTCAAAAACTCTAATCTGAACCCTAAAGAAAAACAAAATCGGTTAAAATTCGATTTTTTTTTTGTTTTTTCGGTACTTATGAATTAAAAAAAAAAAAAAAAAAAAAAGACACCTTGCATTGTTCGGAGCTGATCAGTCGAGCATTTAGTTATATCGGTCTTGCAGTCGTGCCAGATTCCGTGTGGATCAGCTACACCGGGAGCCAGAATATTCTTTATCTGTTTTTTAAAAAAATAGAAAAATATATATATAACCAAGAATTAGTATATAGTATATAATTATTTGTGAAATAACTGCAAAAAACAAATTAAAGAAAAGATTGTTAATTAACCTGCCATGAATCATAGGCTGCATTTATAACGAAAAGTGGCGTCCGGATTTCTTTCGACACATATTGCGGGAAAAAACACTGCATTTTTCGTATTTAAAAAAAAAGTTAATATCAGCTTTTGAGCTTATAAGTTGTATATATATTTGCAAGGAAAAAAAGAAAAAAATAACACCATTAATATTGATGAAAAAAGTGTTCTTACAAGGCTCGGTTTCATTTTCGATGTACACGAAATCGGCAAATTTTTCGCTGATCCCTGCAGTTAATCAGTCAAAACAAATTGAAAAAAAAAATCAAATTAATTGAACAAATTGTTCATAAATAAATAAATAATGTAGGCAACGAACAATCTTACGTGTGTTGTAACTACGTCGTTAAAGTAGGCTTCGATATGGTCTGCTGCAGAAATATCTTTCCTGTTCCGATCCGAAAATTTAATGCGATTATTACATTGATTTAATTCTTTAGGTAAATAAATTAAAAAAAAAACCTACGTATTAATGAAATAACCGGCATCGGAAAAACACTTGACTTTTGTGCGAACGGGGAGCAGAGCTTTAAAGCTATCACAATGAAGAATTGACGCCAATCCACCAGCCGAGCATCCCGACAGAACAGCCTACGAATAATACATACGATTTTCTTTTACAATTTTTTTTTAATTTAAATATATTTTTAATTTTAATATTTGTAGATACATTTTGTGCATTCTTCATTCCTTTTGCTAATAGTTCCTCCATAACAGCAACAAACACCCTTGCTCCTCTGTAATAAAGTTTTGTGACCTGCTCATAATTTTAAAATCGACACGATATTTAATTAAATATTCAAATATAAAAACTCGACGTTTATTCGACATTCTTGAAATATATTACGACCGACTTACGGGGTCCACTGCTTCGACGTCACCGGTAAACGACGAGCCATCGCAGTACCTAATTTTCACTCGATTCCAATTATAGAAATCTTGAAATATTTTCGACATTAATTAATTAGGAGTTAGGACAATGTCATTTAAATAAATAAATTAAATAAATTAATTATTACTACATATATATATACCGGGATTAAACTGTGGCTTATCGCTCAAAATCGCGGAAAAAGCGAGCTGCTTAATCATTTGCTTCGAAGAACCTAAACGGTTAGTTTTACGTGCAAGGCAAGTCGTAACATTGTTGCACCATCCTCCTCCCTAAAATTAATTTCATAATTTCATAATTAATTAAATTATGTGATAAAAATATAATAAAATTAAAATTATTCTAAAAATACTAATTACCTCAATCTGAACTAGCCAATTGTTAACTCCGGCACCAAATCCGCGGTCGAGATGGTATGCCGGTGGACTCCCGTCCAAACAAACTGAAAGAAAAAATGCAAAATAAAAATAATATACTAATTTAAAAAAAAAATGCAAAATTAATTAATTAGTTAATTAAGAAAACAGAACAAAATAATTAATTAATTGGAGTTGAATAATTTTATTTACCTGCTCCTTTTGCCACAGCAGTCTGAACATAAGTGATATTTACATAAAGGCCCTCAGTCCTCAGCAGAATTACCAAACACAATGTAATTCTCAACCATTCCATTTCCTGTTAAAAAAAATCGCCATTTGCATAATATGAAAATAATTAATAAACTCAAAAGAAAAATCAATACAAAATTCAAAAAGGCTGAAACCAAAGAAAGAAATTCTTCAAAACGATTTTGGTGGGTTTGAAGAGATGAAGTTAACTTATGCAAGTACGAGGATGTTAACTGTAATAACAGCTTTTTGAAAGTAAATTCGGGTTCGGGCTCGGGCTCGGGCTCGGGCTTTTCACGTATACATTGCAAAGAACAAAATATGATAGAAAGTTTTGCGTTTTATGTATTGGTTTTATATATAGGGTTCATAAATCGGGTTTTCTGGTCTGATCCGACCCGGTTTGCCATCGGAGTCAATAACGTTAACGAATCTTGTCCTCTACTTATATTATATATATATATGATGGTGTCGAATTATATACCTCAAGACCTCCTTTCAAACTCTACTTCTTCGATTGACTATTTGAATGTTGTGATCTCGTGACCTTACTCGGGTTTGATACATTTATTTATATAGAGAACTATCTAAGGTTATTTTCTAATTTAGAATCCCTTTTATTTGTCCGAGAAGTATATATTGATTGTTCAATTATTGATCTTAATTTATATGTTTTCCTTATTTATTTATGGAAGTTATCTCCGAATCGCTTCCTCAAACAATCGTAGGGTTAGCTCGCCACCTATGACGAATGTCTTGGCCCCATTTTGACTCTCATACATAATATAGAACACACTTGCAATTTAAGGGATAAAAATCAGTTCTTGGAATTTGAAATGAAAAATATTTTTCTAAAATCAAATTATTCAGACCAGAATAGATAGGGGAAAAATGCCTCAATATTTAACCCTAAAATTAATTAATGATTTTTGCAATTTTGATTTTGGTGTTCTTAAATTTATGGTCTATGCAATGCTATATAAGGTAGATCTTTCAATTAATATACACATAAATACACACACCCACATTGGTGTGTGTTGATCGGTAAAAAAAACACTCGATATAAACTTTTACCGAATGTAGTATAGAAATAAGTCAATAACAGATGAATCAATGATGTAGAGAGTGACACGTGGGATTGCCGGCCGGTGTTTTATTGAAGCATATGCAAATGTCTGCTTTCAATCCCAATTCCGTATTGCACTTTGCATCAAATTTCCATCTGTCGTTACTATGTAATGGATTCTCTTTTTATGGTGTTACTTTTTGGAATTTCTTTAATTTACTTTCTTATATTTATTCGTTTCCTCTCAATTTATGAATTTGAATAAGATATTTTTTTTTGAAAAAAATATCAAACAGTTTGGAAAAACTTATAAGCTCTTCAATATTTTATAAACTTTTTTTAACAGCTCATAAGCTTAATTATACGTCGTCAGCACTCGTGACAACAAATTGTTAATTAACAATTAGGCACATGTGATGGCTACAAGTGTGAAAAGGAATCCTTATGTTAGATTCCTCAACATCTCAATTCTCAATCAAATAATACAAATGTGGAAAATGACTATTAATCATTTAATTGTGTTGTAAATTGTGTGGTGTCATTTTAAAATCTTATCCTCTCTTCATGGATTCAATTAGTTAGCACTAACATGATTAAGATGTTTAACCTAAAATTCATTGAAAATGTCTAAACCAAATTTTATTTTCTTCAATTTAGGTTTCTCGAGAAATTCAAATCCTATTACAAATTAGGGAACTAGGTCGGGGTCATGAAACATTGAATTGTTTAGTTTCCCAGTTATAGGATTTACAACAAATCATTAATTTTTTTAAGTAACGTTTTCTAAAAGAAAAAATAAAAAATTATTAAATTGAAAAAAATAATGATAATTCTTTTAAATAAGGATTTTTCTCTCTATAATGGAAACTATATAATAATTTTCTTAATGATGTTTATTTACTTTAAACCCAAATTAAATTACTGTCTAATTAAACCCAAATTAGCCTTGGCCCAATTTAGTAGAAGCCCATATATAAAAAAGAACGCCCAACCCAACCGGAATATCCAATCCTCAAAAACCGGCTGCGAACCGATGGCACGTGAAAGTCACGTGCCTCGTCACACTATCGCCGTTTCACTACAGACTGCTAAAAAACTCTTCTCTGGCGGCAATGCTGAGGTGCTCTTGTTTGACTCCCCGAATAAGGTGCTCACTTCTAGATTATCGTTAATTACACGCGCGCGCACACAGTATGCATATATGTATATAATTGCTCGTGCTCAAATTCAGGAGTCGGTTTGTTTATTATATTGTGGTATAATTAATTACTGGGTTCGTAATTTTTGTGCCCTAATTTTTTGGGAATGAATTTTCAATTTGGGAATCTATGGTGTGAAAGGGTAAAAAATAAACTCAAAAGAAAATTTGCTTACGGAAATGCCCAATTGAAATGAAATATTGCAAGAACTATTTATTACTAATGTTTGTGCTTTTCATACTATGATTTAATCAATCAGCATTGCAATTTTTCTCAGCTCAATTTGTTGTTTGGTATGAAGGATTGCTTGTTACAGCAAGATGAGCTCGACTCCGGGACCGATGTGTCGAAAATTCGTACCTGTTGAGCAGTCTGAAGTTACTTCAATCAGTAAAGATGCTGGTCTGTATCTATCTATTATATCTATATCTATATCTATAACTATATCTATATCTATATATAGTATATTCACATATATATATATTGAGAATTGTCTCGTCTCGTCTCGTCTTTGATTACCGTATGTTTTGTGTGACAGGCTTCAAATTCCGTCTCGTATCGTATAATATTTTGGCTCAGGTAAAGAAAAAAAAACGATACTACATTGTCTGTTCTATGGACAAAATCTCGGTCGAAGTTCGTAGTATTTTTGCTAACTTTAAATGTGATATTTTCAGGCATATGTGAAAAGCTCGTACTTTCCGCACTCACCACCACCTTCTCTCAAGTACGTATAACTCCTTTGACCTAAATATAATTCACTAACGCCACGAGGAATTGTTCATGTTTTTTCATTTGTTCCGCGTCAACTATTTTTCTCGAGAATTTGGCTATTTTATATATATATATATATATATATATATGTGTGTGTGTGTGTGTGTGTGTGCGCGTGCGCGCGCGCAATTCTCTTACAAGAAAAGTATCTAATAATGGAAAGTTGCAGGTGGAAGGCTCGATCACAAGCAATTTTGACGGTTCTTAAGAGCCTCGAAGCAGATTTTCTTTGTCTACAGGTTTCCTATAATTTTCTTGGTTTTTTTTATTAATTATTTTCTTTTAATTTGTTTTATTATTAAAGATATGTCGAATTCTTTTTAGGAAGTAGACGAGTACGAAACCTTCTATAAGAAGAATATGGAGAGCCTTGGCTACGCAAGTATCCACGTTCAAAGAGGTGGAAGAAAACGAGACGGATGCGGGATCTTTTATAAACAAAACAAGTATTGCTAATTCTTTTTCTTCCCCTTATTTAAAAAAAATAAAAAATGGATTATTTCGTAATTCGTTGATCTACTAATTAGTGCAGAGTTGGTTATCGAAGAGAAAATAGACTACAATGATCTGGTGGAATTAATTGAAGACGAAACAAATTCGTCGGTCGATAATAGCGACAAAAAATTGATAGTTGCCGGAACTAAAGAGGAATCGAAAGCTGGTATATTTCCAAAAATAAAATAAAAAATGTTGCTCCGGTTTATAATGTTTCTCTTATTTATTTGTTAGCATCTCGTTTTTCAGAGAATGAAGTGGAGCGTGGAGATCCAAACGACCCTCGTGTAAGATTAAAGCGCGACTGTGTCGGAACAATGGCTGCGTTTAGACTAAAGAGTCCTTCGTGTCATCATATTATTATAGCAAACACTCATCTATATTGGTAAGCCTTTAAGAAATCCCGGATAAAAAATTAAAAAAATAAAACGAGAAATATAATGATCCGAAATCTGATGCAGGGATCCAGAATGGGCCGACGTGAAAATCGCACAGGCGAAATACTTGCTTTCACGATTATCGGGGTTTCAAAAACTAGTATCGGAAAAATTTGATTGCTCTCCTTCGGTTATTGTTGCTGGTGACTTTAACTCGGTCCCCGGAGATCAGGTGTATCGATACCTAATTTCGGGAACCAATGTAGTGGGGCCGGAAACTGCGGATGAAGTGCCGAAGATTCCATTGTCGAGTGTTTATGCTTTCACAAGAGGAGAACCGGAGTTCACAAACTGCACCCCTGGTTTCACCGATACTCTCGATTATATCTTCTTTTCACCTTCTCGAGATATTAAACCAGTTAGCTATCTCGACCTTCCGGAAGCGGAATCTTCCGATGTAAGTGGCGGTTTGCCCAATTATTTCCATCCCAGCGATCACCTTCCCATCGGAGCCGAGTTTGAAGTTGAAGCATAGAGTTTTTGTTTTTTTTTGTTTTTTAATATTTTTCTTTTGTATCCCTTTTTTTTTTTTTTTAATTTAATTAGTATTATTAGTGGATTTTCACTTATGATTAGTCAAATTTTTGCTTGTGGACATCTTGCTATTTACTTATGATTAATACAAAATGTGTTACCTTATTTTTCTCAATTTTTTTTAAATAAATAATTGTTGTATAAATCAATTATAGCTGAATTAATGGAAATTGTAAATATAAATCTTGAAATACAAAAAATATTAATTAACATATTTAATTAATATTGGAATATTGAAATTTGGATTTTGGATTTGTACTTGAAAATTATATTATTGTGGTATTATTATTTTCATCCTTGTGGAAATAATTAATGTTATTTTCCCCCCCAAGAGAAAATATTACAGTTGCTTATCGAAACGACACCGTCGGCTGTCGTTTTGTTGAGAGTATATAAATAAGCATCGACTAGCTGAGAAAATTCATACAACACCACTCTGCAAGTCTACAGATCTGAGCATCGCCGTCGATACTGCCATTTTCATCTCCGATTACCAAAGTAAGATGCTTTAATTCTCCTTAATTCAATTTCTTCATTGTTAATTTTTTTTTTTAATTTATTTTTCGATTCGTAAATTTCATGTTTCCTGATCTGTTAATCGCATTTGAATCGATGTTTTTAAATTTGGGGAAATTGGATCTATGATCTATTTGTGCCTTTTAATTTTTGTTGTTTTTTTAATTTAGGGCACTGATTTGGTTAGAAATCGTTGTTTCGATCGACTCTCTGATGAATATTTCGGTGAATTTTGTGTTTTTGACCCATAATTTTTGCTGATGAATAATCGGCGAAAAATGAAGACCAAAAATGTGATATTTTTTTTTTCCAATTCAAATGCCAAACACAGTGGAAGGAAATTGGACAAAATGAGGAATTATAGATCATGAATTATAGACATCATTTTTTTAATATATATTTTAATTTCATGAATAAAAAGGTTTTTGTAATTGTTTCGGCTTTTAGGATTTATTATTTGAATTGATCGAGGTATAATTAAGTTTGTCGAGGGTACCAACTACAACAGTTCAAACGGGGGATAATAGCTTGACTTCTAAATGATATCATCATGAGATTATTGTTGGTAGTTGATGTACATGACTATTGGAATAAAGTAATCGAATTTTATCGATCCTCTGTGTTTTGATTTTAGAAGCAATTCTTGTTTAAGGTATGTGAAAAAAGAGTTTATTGAACTAATATCACGAATCACGATGAGTATTGAATTGAGAATACAAACTTAGGCGAATGAGTTAATAATAAAAGTGAGTTGTGCTAGGGGGTTCGATTTATTCCGTAGCGGATAAATTATTGGTAATAATATGTCTGCATCCTTGTTAAGGTTGTCTTTCGCTTCTTCTGCATATTGCCAATTGCAATATTACAAGATCTTATAAGGCCTTGTTTGGTTGGGAGATTAGCCATTATAAACTAAATAATTGGACTTTGTTTGATGTTTGGTATCCCCAATAACTTGCCCGCAAATATTATGTTATCATACATTATCTTGCCTTTAAGGAGCTTTTTTGTTGGACGTGCCGGGGTCCGATAAAGTAATTGGGTTTTTTCTAGATTATTTAATCTTATGTTGGCTAATCTTATCTTGGCGACCAAACGCGGCCTAAGTGTGTTACTTTTGAAATGTCTTAATGCTGATATTAATTTTTTTTTGTAATCTATGTTACAGATGATTGATGATCAGGACTTGGGTTTCTTTGCCAACTTCCTCGGTATCTTCATATTTGTGCTGGTCATTGCTTATCACTATGTGGTGGCGGACCCAAAATACGAGGGCAACTAAAGATCCTCCCTCCGTATCCGTATGTAGACTATGTTAAAGTACAATTTTCATGTGACGAGAAATTTCAGGGAACAAAAGATACATTTGATGTCGTAGGAGACATTTAATTTAGCCTTACTTTCAATTTATGGATAATCTTTGAAAATAGGACAAATCGGAAAAGAACTTTATTTTTCTATACTATCGGATTTTTGGTTTCAAGTTTTGCTATTTGGTTTTGTTATCTTTAATGTTTTTATTGCATTTGTCGAGGACGCAATTTTGCTCCGAGAACTTGCATATAGTAGTGTACTTGCTTCTACTCTCAGGCCTGCTCATTACAGAGTTGAACATAATCGTCGTATACAGTGATACATCTGTAAGCGACTGCTATCTAGAATCGGATGATCGGATAATGATCAACATTCAAGATTTAAGCACTTGCAATTCTATACTAGTTTCTTCCATTTTTATTTTATTTTTCGAGTTACAATATTCGTGAAGAAACATCCGATAAAAGTCGTTGTTTTGCACGAAGTTGAGCTAAGTATTGAGCACATTTAAAAACTATATCAACATGAACAAAAAGATTAGCAAATTCTACAGGGAAATCAGACTGCAATAACTTGTCTTACATTTCTTGGTTATTGAATTTCATAAATGTAAGATTCTAAGTGTAACTAACTCTAGGTTGGTTGAACAGTTGAAAATGTCAAAAATTCTGATGAATCTAATCAGATTCATACAGGATACATACAAAAAGATTCATTCTTGATACAAAGAAACAATCTCTCATAAGCCAACGCCATCTTCCTCGCATTAAACATCGTCTCCGCGTAAACCCGCCCCGCCGCCCCTCTCTCCACCAGCCTCTCCGCCCCTTCCGCCGCCACCAATTCCAACGCCTCGTACAGAGACTCAACATTAGGCGAAAACATAAACCCGAACTCATCGTCGACCATAATAGTCCCTTTTATACTCGGAAACCTCGACGCCATAAACGGTGTCCCGCACATCATACCTTCCATCATAGTAAGATCCAGCCCTTGCGGCCGGAGAGTCGGGTTCACAAAAACGTCGATCGAATTGTAAAAGCCCCGTAACTGCGCCGGATCCATCGAACCGAGAACGATTACTTGTGGGCCGAGTTTTTTATACCGGCTTTGCCACGGGCCCGACCCGGCTACGATCAAGTAGATATTCGGGTTGTTCGTTTTCAGCTTCGCGAAGGCCTCGTAGAGCAACGGGTGCCCTTTGTCCCTCACTAATCGACCCGCCGTGCCGAGAACTAGCGTCGCGTTTCCCGGGACTCCGACTTTGGATCGGAATTGTTGACCTAGTTTCGGATCGTGGGTGAATTCGTCTTCGTCGACGCCGTTGACGATGACGTGGACTCGCTTGGATGGAATTTGGTAGACGTCTCTCAGCATTTCGCCGCAGCTGTTGCTTATGGCCACGTGGTGGGCGTACTTGGCGAAGAACCGGATTTCTTCTAGAACCTTCGGGATCGCCACGTGGATGCTGCGGTTGAAGTCGTTCGACATCGGCTCGCTAGGGTTTCGGGCTAGGTCTTGGTAGATGCTGGATTGGACGCTCTCGAAGGCGATTCCGTGCCACGACACGGCGAGGTTCGGGAGGCGCGCCGCCAGGGAGTGGTGGAGGGAGACGCTCTCCGTGTGGACCACGTCGAACGGATCGGACCGGTTTTCGGCCACGAATTGGGCGTACGCCTTGTTGTGCTGCCACACGTTCGGATCGCCGTCGTGCCAGTGGAGGATCGGCGACATCGGCGGCGGAGGCGGAGATTTGGTCTCGTCGGTTGGGGAGGTGAAGATGTGGACGCGGTGGCCGCGGCGGGCTAGGGCTTTGTGTAGGGTTTGGGCGTGGCGCTCCATGCCGCCGGGGGCGGTGGTGGTGGGCCATTTCCGGGAGAAGACGGCGATTCTGAGGGAGATTGGTGGGGGGGTGTGGGCGGTGAAGTCGAGGCGGTTCCATGGGAAATCGGCGGCGCGGAGGTCGCCGGACCAGGGGCGGCGGTGGGAGGAGAGGGGTGTGCAGATGGAGGTTGGGGAGTAAGTGTGGAGAAGAAAAAGAGTTGGGATTGTTAAAGGAATAATGGATAATAGGATTATGGAAGAAATTGAGTGAAGGTTTAGTGATATTTTCTTTGCCATTTTTTTTTTTTTTTTTTAATTATTTGGCAAGAAAATGAAGAACACAAGTTAATTAGGTCTTAAATAGGGTGGTTAATTACTAGATAATTGTGCAATTTGTTAATCTTCTTTTTAAACAATTTCAACAAGTTTGGCTAAGTGGATGGCTTTTTGGAAGCATGGGTGCATCTTTTTTCATGCTCCAACTGCGAAGAACATGTGAATTGTTTTACCTTAAAGTAATGGAGAATAGATAATAGGTTATTTACTGCACGCGAGTTAGTGATTTTTAAATTTTCCTTTTTTAATATATGTTGTCACATGCAGAATGTAAATGGATCGGTCGTTGAGTTTCAGATATGTTCCATTCAAATGGAGTGGTTCGAATGTGTACATACAACATATGTATACGTCACGAATTTAGTTGATTGAATTTGAATGAGATATAGAATCTTTGTAAAAAAAAACATACAATTTGAGCAATTTGCATAGTGTATGACAATATATTGTAATGAAGTGCTACTTGGCATTTACTTTTGGAAATGGCATCAAGAGTTAAAAAAACACACACAAGTGGTGTGTGTGTGTGTGTTGGTCCAAAAATAATAGATTCCCAACGTGCAAATGGTATATATAACCAACCATTGCGGCTGGATTCCGGGCTATGAAAATTTTGTGTGCCGAATTTACCCCCATTGACTCTATAGTCTTTACCCCTCACATTTAATAAACTCATATTTAAATTAGTGTATTGTATAACCTATTTCAACTCTTAAATTAAATATGTATATATAATATGTAATTTATTGATCAATAATAGTTTAAATTTAATAGATCTATATGCTACTAGATTCTCCATTCATCCAATGACAATACTAGTACCAAAATGTAGATTTGCCGATGCAGCATATGGTGAAATTGCTACTTCCAACTGAATATGTATTGATATATACACGTCACACATCTATAGTAAAATATAATCGATCAAGTTCAGCGGGTGCAGCATAAAACGAGAAAAAAATCAAGATACTTTTGTACTCCAAACATAATTGCTACTTTTCAAGTGAACAACTTTTTTTTTTATATATTATATTATAATTCACATACACATTCACATAATTAGACTTAGAACAATTTTATACATGCACTATATTATATGCTTACATAATAAACTCTCTTTTCTTTCTTAATTACCACAATATATTATTTAATTTTTTTTATTTGCTTCTTGGGCTAGCAGCAACAGCAGCACTTTTACACCCAAATCCACTTTGCCTCCTCCCTTTACCATAATACCCCAAATTACGGCCCGAATTAGCCGAATCGGGCCACTGCCCATGGGTAATTGCCATATCCCTCAAATTCTGCAGGCTTTCGAGAGTTTCGATAATAGCTGGTATTTTGGGCCTGTCTTTCGGGTTCAAACTCACACATTTTTGGGCCAAAAGGCCCATTTCTTTGGCCCCCTTCACGGAGTATTGCCCCCCAAGTCTTGGATCCATTATGCACCGCAATCGACGGGTTCGGGTCAAATACGGGTAGGTCCAATCCACTAGATTTTGCTCGTTTTTGGGACGGGACTTCTCGACTGCTCTCCTTCCGGTTAGGAGTTCTAGTAGAACTACTCCGAAGCTATATATGTCACTTTTTGTAGTTAGGTGACCTGCATCACATTTAAACATGAAATTAAAATCATATTAATTTTTTCGAGTATTGGAACGAATCAAAGAAAATAAGTCGAGAAACGGGGAATATCTATCCAAATTAGTTTTCTAATTTCTTTTTTTAAAGTGAAAAAAATAAGATCAATTATGTTCCAAAAATTCAGAAAAATCGGAGATGGGATTTCTGAAAATTGGAATGGAGAAAAACTTATTCCAAAATTGAAAATTGGAATCGGCGAAATTCGAAGATTTCATTCCAATTTTCATCCTAACAATGTCGATAGTGTTTCAAAAAAAATCATTTTTTCTAATCCGAAGAAAAAAAAAAGAGAGAGAGAGAGAGAAATATACCGGTGCTGACGTATTCGGGAGCAGCGTAGCCGTAGGTACCCATGACCCGAGTAGTGACATGGGTATTTGACCCTTCGGGTCCCATTTTCGCGAGTCCGAAATCCGATAATTTAGCATTGAAATCCTATCGAAATTAAGACGAAAATGCGATTAAAAATAAATTAATAATATATATATTATTTTTTTAGAGAAAAAAAAAAGGAGAAATACCGAATCTAATAAGATATTGGAGGTCTTGAAATCACGATAAATGACAGGTTTGGTGGCATCATGCAAGAAAGCTAGACCCTTTGCTGCTCCTATTGCTATCTTCAATCTTGTTGCCCATGGCAATGAAATTGACAACCCTGCATTTAATTTAATTAACATATATATTATTTATTGAAAGTGAATAAATAAATAAAATAAAAATGAAAGCATTATTTTCTTTTTCACTTTATTTATTTGTAAAACCGTCAAATCTCAAATAATTTTGCAATTTACGAAAGTGAAAAATTTGATCATCCTATACAATTTACTTGGACAACATGCCCAAAAATTAATATGGCAAATTAATTACGGCCACCCTCTGAAGTAATTTTAAATTACGAAGAAATCTCTACTGTTTAGTTAATTCTAACGTTCAATTATGTATTATATATCAAATTTAACTACTGAAAGAAGTGTTTTTTTTAGTAAGACAACACAAAATTAAAGGAATGGTTGTAATTACATAAGCAAATATTTTTATTTTTTTTCGTAATTTAACCCTACCTCGGGATAGTCGTGTGGCCGTAATTTGCGCAAATTAATATAACTAGATAGAAATAAGGAAAAACAAAATTAAGAAGAAAAAAAAGGTGGGAGAGAATTACTTTTGAACAAATGATTCTCCAAACTGCCACGTGGCATGAACTCATATACAAGGAGACGCTCTTCATCTTCACAGCAGTACCCAATTAACTTCACCAGATTTGGGTGCCTCAGCTGCCCCAATACTATCACTTCCGCCTTCATAAATTAATTAATTAATTTAATTAATTAAATAATAACAACAATAATAATTAAAAAAAAAAAAAAAAAAATTTCTAACGTACAAGCCATTCACGGTGGCCCTGCAACCCTTCAATATCAAGTAGCTTAACAGCAACGGGCTGGGCTTTCAAACCGGGCCTCAAACTCTGATCCACGTAGCCTTTGTGGACCCTACCAAACCCTCCTTCCCCCAATAAGAAATTGCTCGAGAAATTCTGCGTCGCCGCCCTCATCTCGCTCACCTGAAAATCGTACAAATCACCGCCGAACGTCTGCGCCAAATCCTCATTTATCCTCGCCGACGAAGATCCCACGCTCAAGCTCACATCCGAGAACGACAGCTTCCTGAACGACGGCAGCGGCGCCGTCCCCCCGCCGCCGCCGCCGCCGATGTTCTTCGTGAAATCCGACTTCGACGGCCGGCACCGGCTGAAGTTTCCGAATACGGCGCGATCGTCCGACGAGCAGCAGTACCCCGCCGTCATCGGCTTCCATTTCGGCTGCTGATTCTTCGAATTCGTCTCCTTCATTTCTGTGTGTGTGTTTGTGTGTGTGTTTTTCTCTGATTTGGGGAAGATGAGTTCTCTCTCGTATTTATTAATTGGAAAAAGTGATTGGATTATGAGGATTGATTAGCAATTAAATTAAATTAATTAATCTTCTCCGGATTATTTATTTATTATTTAATTTTTGTGTATTTTATTAATTGTGTAGTTATCCAAATTGCAAGAAATGTAATGGGGATTTATTTATTTATTTATGTGATAGTAAGACATAATTTATGTAACTGCTCCAACCACTCTACTAATTAGTGAGGGGTTTATTTAAATTAATTTTGGTCTAATCTTTGGATTTATATATGTGCATGGGGATTTAATTTAGTATTTAATTAATTTATTTATTCCCATGTCATCTAGGGTATGTCTTCATGCAGAAAAATTGTCAATGTTAGTGTTCTTGTCAAGTGTCATCTTTGGTGACTTTCCAATTTTTTTGGATTGGAATTGGAATTATATAAAATAAATTTGGAATTTCCGATTTCCGATCCGATTTAATTCCGAAATTAATTCCAAAAAATTCCGATTTTTTTCCGAAAAATACACCTATAAATAGTATATATTATATAATATTTATTTTCCGAAAAATACACCTATACGTTTTGTTTTAGGATTTTGACATAATGAATTGTTGTTAGAAGTTTTATTGGATATTATGTTGTGTTTATTTTTATTTATTTTTTTGAACTGAAATGTAGTAGTTATTAGTTTTACTTTTATCGACCTGGATGCTCTTATTTTCGAATAATTATAAACATTTTAGAAAATTTCGGCTAAGTTTTGAAATTTTAAAGCTTATGTGATTTCCGATTTTTTTCCGAAATTCCGAAATTTCCGGGCCTTTTGGAATTGGAATGAATTTTTAGATTCCGAAAATTTTGGAATTGGAATTGGAATTGATTTTGTACTTCCGAAATTTTTTGGAAATTTTCCGAAAAGGCTAATTCCGATCCGATCCATCCGACTTTCACCCCTATATGTATATATATATACACACATCTTTATATATATGCATAATACATATCACTATAAGTTATATATGTCATCGAACTACTATAAATGGGATGTTTAAAATGACATTTAATCAAAAAAAAAAAAAAAAAAATGACATTTAATCTTGTTCAAGCCCAACGTCTCAAATATATATATAATTTTATTGTGCGTTGCAGTTAAGTGAGTATATATATATCCCAAAGTAAAATTAGTTGTACCATAGATATGTACAAATAACTATCCACTAAACGTATACGCACACATAGATGTAGATCAATAGTGCACGATCACCATGTATATTTCACCGAGTGTAGCATATACAAAACTGTACGACTACCGGCCACCTAATAATCGTGCGAAAATAGGATTGAATAAATTTCTTCAAACTTGAGGGCTAAAATAGTCCATAACTAATTGGCCCGGCCCATATCAGTTAATACTTAATACTGAATTCAGAAAATCTCCACTTTTACACTATCTTTTAATTAATATACAAAGATTTACTTGGACATTTAAGAAGTGCAATTAAAGAAACAAAGGTAACAAATAATATTTATGTTCCAACAAATCAAAATAATTGAGAAAAACAACATCATCAACACAAGTGAAAAAAATATTAAAAAAAAAATAATAATTGCATTTGTTTGTAAGTTCCTCAACCATGATCTGTTAATCCTAGCCACAAAAAACATATTTTTTTTAATGCAAATAAAGATACAAAATATTGAATTTGAAGAATAAACAACTAAAAAATTGATCTGCAAAATTAAATAAATAAATAAATCCAAAGCTCTGGTTGATTAATTACTTCCACTGCCCCTTGACAGCAAACTTGAAGCCCTTGTTCTTTCTGGCCGCCACCTTAGCAGTTGATTTCGCTTGCTCTTCAATGGCTTCCCTAATCAACTTTTCCTGCTCTTTTATCGGCAAAAACCCGTTTTCGCCGTAAATATTTTCCTCCATCCCGTAATCTCCATAATACGGATTCTTTACCGAAACCCGAAAACTTTTTCCGGCTTCCATTACGTCTTGTTTGTTCTTACAACTTTTCAACATGTTACACCGTGGCTTTTTCCAAACATCCATGCAATCTCTTCTTTTCGTCGAATATCAGAAAAAAAAAATGAATGATTAATATCAAATATATGATGTTTATGCATCTATATGTATATATATAGATACAACATTGTATATATCAAGAATTATATATATAGAAGAATGAAGATTTGCACTTTATTAAGGGGTTGGTGGGGGTGGGGGGAAAACAGGGTATCTCTTAGTTGTATGTTAGCTTTTGTTGAGCAAAAATATCACACACATTACATGCAAATATTTATTGTTTACAACTGTTTTTTAATTTTATTCCCATTGTATTTAATTTAGCAGTATTCGCCAAATGTATTCATGTTTTTCGAATTTTAAATATTTATTTTTCACAAAGAAATGGTATGACACATCTAGAAGTTTCTTGATTCTAACCAGCTGTCTTACTTAGATGAGTTTAAAACTAATGAATATGATTTGTTTACCTTAATACGACGATATGCTGGTTAATTCGTTTTAATTGTTTAATGTCTTTATATACCCTTTTCGGAAATTATGACTTCATTATTAGAGTTTTATCTCGAAGCTTAGAAATCGAAACAAATGTTTGAATCCCGTCGATATTGATCTGATAAATTTCGATTTAGGACTTGACAGGAAAGTTTTGATTTAGAGTGTGAAGATGAATTAAGTGATTATGAGAATGCTAAGTTTGGGTATTCTCTGTTTAATAGCTAATTCAAGTTGCATTTTTTTTTATATATATAATTGTCCACGTGGTGAATGCTCGGGAATGAGCGGTTCACAATCGAATGTTGTGGGCGCCTGCGCTGACTTATTGGGGTCTCATATGAAGTTGTAAATTTTCGATCATTGAAATCTTACGATAAATTTATTTCAAATTAAAACCACAAAAACGAATGGTAAGTTTACAACAATACCCCCCACTTTGAAGTTTTGAACAACCTCCAATACACACAGAGCCAACAAATACCGTAAGGGTAAATTACAACCACCTCCCCAAGTTAAAGTTTAATTACAAAAATATCCTTCTTTTTTGATATATTACATCGAGTCCTCTACAGTTTGTAAATTTCTTACATCCAACACCTACAAAAGAGTGTTAATGTAAGAAATCCACAAATTTCAAGGGTACAGATATAATTATGAAAAAATGAGGGTTTTTGTAAATAGAGCTTACCTAGGGGTGGTTGTAATTTACCTAATATCGTAATTCAATTCTCCTAAGTTTCATATTTATCAAATCCAAGAGAGTGACTAATATCTTTAAATTAATCTTTCTAGCTGCCATGCATGTAATCCCCACTGTGTGTGTGTGTGTGTGAACTGAACTGAGTGAAAGATTATGTCAAAATCGCCTCAAAATCCAATCAGCAAAACTCCTGAACTGAGTGAAATATTATGTTTTTAGTTTTAATGCAGAAACTTTTTAATCGGTCTATAAATTGAAGTAGAAACAGCATATCTTTGTGTATATAGTCTTACCATTAATGGCTTCCAACACTAACCCCTCGTCGATCTTCCTCTCTATTCTCGTCCTAATTTGTTCGATTTCTTCGAGTGAAGAAGCAATCCCCAACAATAATGGCATAACCGTAGATTTAATCCATCGCGATTCCCCGTTTTCTATAACCACTCCGAAACACAATTCGTAATATGAACTCATTTCGTCGCTCTATCACACGATCTATTCACTTGGGACTTTCTACAAACACTGAACAAGTATCAGCTGCAGAGGCTCCAATCACCCCAGATTCCTCCGGCGAGTTTCTGATGAAAATCCTCATCGGAACCCCGGCGGTGGAATTGGCGGCAGTGGTCGACACCGGCAGCGACCTAACATGGGCTCAATGCGCACCCTGCCAGAACTGCTACGACCAGAAACCACCGCTCTACGACTCCACTAAATCCAAAACTTTCCAAAACGTTTCTTGCGAATCCGATCAGTGCAAATTGATTGGCCAAGGGTTTTTGGAGTGCGACAAAACGAATCTCTGCCGGTACTATGTCAGTTACGGAGATGGCTCCACTTTCCTCGGAAACATAGCTGTGGAAACCTTCACTATCGGAGAAGCTTCCGGAACATTTCCTGAGGTCGTGTTTGGCTGCGGAAATTTTAATTACGGGACTTTCGAGGAATCCATGTCCGGAATTGTCGGACTAGGCGGCGGCTCATCTTCAATATTGAGACAATTGGGAACATCAATTGGATCAAAATTCTCGTATTGCTTGACCTCTTTTGATTCCAATGTTTCGAGCAAGATCAGCTTCGGTAGTAATGCTGTAGTCAAGGGGGACAAAGTCATGTCCACTCCATTAAAGAAGGGAGCCAGCGATACATTCTACACAGTCACTTTAAAGGGTATTAGCGTCGGAAATACGAAGCCGGTGAATTTGGAAACATCATAATTGACTCCGGCATGCCTTTATCGATTATTCCGAAATCGATGTACGAGGAAGTGGAATCCGTGTTGGTTAAAGCCGTGAAAGGTGTGCATGTGGATGATCCGAGAAAAGCCGACGGATTGTGCAACAAGTCGCCGGAAAGCGGAGAATTGGATTCTCCGACGATGATTGCATATTTTGAAGGTGTGGATTTGGCTTTGCCACAGAAGAGCAACTTTGTGGAGGCGGCAAAGGGGGTGGTTTGTTTGACTTTGGTGCCGGCAGGGCTGTACGCTCCTATTAACGTACTCGGTAATATACACCAGAGGGATTATCTAATCGGATTTGATCTCGAGAATCGGAAGGTAGATTTCTTGCCAACCAATTGTAGCAAACCCCACTGAAAAGAGAATACAGGGTTTATATATAGTGTTGTAGTCATTGCAGTTTCTTCAGATCAAATAAAATTAAACAAACATTAAGAAAATGTCAATCACTCCCAAATCATTGCAATTAATTAAAAGATGAAACACTGTAAAATAGATTATTATGCAATCAAATATCTGGTTACCTTTTACTGACTCAACCAATTAATCATATATATTTTGCTTTGAATACATTTTCTTCTTCCTACGAGGAAACATATGTAATGATTCAATGAATTTGAGTAACAAAAGATTTTCATTTTGATCAATTATTAGTGTATAAATTGATGTTAAACTCCATCACAACAATCAAAATTTTAATTAGTAATTAATAATTAATCATGGCTTTTTACGTACCAAATCCCTTGTCGATGATTTTTCTGTCGGCTTTCGTCCTTTGTTTGATTTCTTTGAGCGAAGAAGCAAAGAACAACAATGGTGGAATAACAGTTGATCTAATCCATCGTGATTCCCCATTATCGCCTTTTTACGAACCCTCCAACACACAGTTCCAGCGTCGAATGAACTCGTTTCATCGTTCTATTGCACGTTCCGTTCGTTTGGGACATTTCACAAACACTTCATCTGCAAAACTGTCGGCTGCTGCAGAGGCTCCGGTCAGTCCCAATTCCGGCGAATATTTAATGAAAATCCTCATCGGAACACCGCCCGTCGAAGTGGTGGCTATTGCCGATACAGGCAGTGATTTGACATGGATACAGTGCTCACCGTGTACGAATTGCTACAAACAAAAACCCCCACTCTTCGATCCAACGAAATCAAAAACTTACCAGAATATTTCCTGTGGATCCAAACAGTGCCAATTGTTAAGCCCGGCGGTTTCACAATGCGATGATGATCGAAAAAACTGCAATTACTTCGCTACGTACGGAGGGGGTTCGTACAGCGAAGGGGACATAGGAGCGGAAACCTTCACCTTCGATTCAAATGTCGAATTCTCTAAGGTCGTGTTTGGCTGCGGCCACGATAACTACGGGAGTTTTCTCGAAGCCGCCTCCGGACTCGTCGGCATCGGCGGCGGCGCGTCGTCGATACTCAGACAGCTGGAAAAATCGATTGGCGGCGCTAAATTCTCGTACTGCTTAACATCTCCCGATTCCAATGTTTCTAGCAGGATCACTTTCGGCGGTAGTGCTGTGGTCGAAGGTTCTAAGGTCGTATCCACGCCATTAAAAACGGCACCGGGAGAAACCTTCTACTACGTGACGTTGGAGGGTTTCAGCGTTGGGAATAAGAGGTTGGTACACATTAACGATTCCATTCCCGAGTCCGATTCCGAATCGGAATCGACGAACATCGCAATCGACTCAGGCACAACACTGACGATTCTCCCGAGTTCGATTTACGACGAGTTGGAATCGGCGGTGGCGGAAGCTGTTAAGGGTAAGCGTGTGGACGATCCGAGAGGAGTGAATGGATTGTGCTACGAGTCACCGGGAAATGGAGGATTCAATTCGCCACCGATAACCGCGCATTTCGAAGGGGCGGATGTGGTGTTGCCGCCGGGGAGCACCTTCGTTGAGGCGGCGGAGGGGGTGGTTTGCTTAACTCTGGTTTCCGGCGGAAATTTGTCTCTTCCGATTTTTGGGAATATACATCAAAGGAATTATCTAATTGGTTTTGATCTCCAGAATCAAAAGGTGAATTTCTTGCCAACTGATTGCAGCAAACCTCGAATTTAGGGTTCATATATAATTTTTGTCATTGTAATTTCAAATTAAATCCAGCCAAGCACAAATCGAACTCGATTAACTTGATTTTTTCGTACATTGTTTACTCATAGTTTATCTAACAAAAACTTAATTTATTATGCTTACAAACCGAACTTTTAACGAACGATCTCGAATCCAGTAGCTTGGTTTAATTAGCCCCATAGTACAAATATTGAGCTTTTTTTTGAGCTACAAATATACATACAGAAACTATACACAAAGCAGAGAGAGCCAAAAAAAAACATGGTGGCTCTCCCTCAAATCAGATGCTGAAAACACACCACCCCCACAAAACAATCTACGCCTAAAAATCGGCTTTTAAGAAAAATAGTAATTTACAAAAAAAACAAGATCCAGGGAAAAGAATCACACCGAAACATGTTTATTCCCGTAATTCCCCTCCGAATTAAAGATTTCGACACTCGGGGAGGCTCGAGGGTACCGTTTAATCTCGTTCAATATCGACTCCCCTCCATCAGTAACACTACCAGCATGGGGCGTAATGGTCATTTCCTCCAAAGCAGTAGCAGATGCTAATAGATACTTAACGAACTCCATTTCTGCTTCGATCCCGGAAAACAATTGCATCTTCACAGTTCTGAGCTGAGTGAACGATTCGGAACTTCTTTGCGATCGTAGAAAGTCGGCCACGGCATCCACCACATCAAAAGTAAAAGCCTGGACAAAAAAAATAAAAAAATTAGTTTTTTTTCTTCAAGAGTTATTAGGAGATAAATCTCGAATATCTAAGATATATAAGTCTTGGATTGCAACTTACAGTAATTTTAAGCTTCTGTAAGTTAGGGCAGCTTCTGATGAATGAAATAGCACAAGAAGTCTCCTCGATTTTCTCGAAATACATATCCGAAAGGTGAAGGTTTTTCAGCGTTGTCAACGAGAGAGGCAGTTTGTTCGGTGCACCATGTTCGACGAGGTCCTGCAATTATTAAAGAACATGTAAATATTTCGAATACTCCAATATTTAGACAATAACTCAACAAAGTGCAAGAATCTCTCAATTTTGCTTACCTCCAATGCATAAGCTTGCAACTGAAGATCCTCAAGAGCAGGCAAAGTACACAACGATTTCACCAAATCCAACGAGAACCGGTTCCCCCTTTTGAATTCCATGGACGAAAAAGTCAATTTAACCTCCGACAGAAGTGGGCAATTCTTGAAAGAAATAGACTTGAACACCCCATGAAACTCGAAATACTTCAACTTGGGACCCGTAATCTCGAGATGATCGAAGCTCGTGCAGAGAACCAATCTCAACCGTTCAAGATTCGGGCACGAAGCGACAAACCGCCCGAAAGTCTCGGGCACAAGGGCAACGCTCTGAAGCTCAAGATTCACTAGTTTCGGGAACCCCTTAAAGTCCAAAGCAGGATCGAAAACGCAGTTGTACAGCTTCAAACTCCTCAATTGTTGGAAAGTGAAGAGATGATCGGTCAACTTGTGGGTTTCTCCTCTCGACACGTGTACGGTCAAATCTTGGAGGGTTTTGTTGGGCAAGAGACGAACCCATTCGTCTATAGCGGGGCTGGATTTGAGATCGGGTACTTGGAGTACGAATTTCAGGAGAGGCCCTTTGTGGAGCTTAAGGATTTGGTAGACAAGGGGCTCGAGTTTGTGGCCACCGAGGAACATTTGATCGAACCAGAAATCGAAGACTATGTCTGGGCAAGACATCCATTTGTAGTGCCATTCGCGAGACAAGATGCTCGTGCTTACGGCGTCTCGTAGGGGCAAGCATCCGAGTATGTTGTCAATTATGTTGTTTGGGAGATTTGAGATGAAATCGGAATCGAAATCGGATCTTAGAGCAGACTTCATATCGTACAAAACCTGAGATGGAAATACAAGAACAACAGTTTAGTTCATAGCACAAATTTATTGGATTTAGATATCCAAGAAATCAAGAAGAGAGGTTCAACTAACTACTACCACATGATCTCGAAAAACAAAGGGCAAATTACAGTTGTAAACCTTTGACTTGTTGATATGTACAACTTGGGGGGCAAAAACAAAGAAGACTGGACCCTTTCATTACACTCCAAACCAATACATTTATTTCTACAATGTTGACATGTTTGGGATTTGAGAAAAATTCAATCTTTTATTTTCTTATTTCACGCGTCTCTT